AAAATAATTATATAAAATAAATAAATAAAATAACCTAAGGTTAAAATATTAAAAGCCATGTCGAATAAATGGGTTTTTAAACAGGACTTAACCACCTCTATGGTCTGGGCAGCTCTTATATCATATTATATTTATTATATTATAATTATATTTGTGTTACGGTGGTGGTGTGTGTCTGAACCCACCTGTGCTGAGGGCAGACCTGTAGCTGGCCACCATGCGGTTACAGGCCACCTCCATGGTCAGCGCCGCCTTCTTCTCTGCCACAAACACGCTGCGCAGGATCCGGGCCAGCTCCCCCAGCCGGGACAGCATCAGCAGCCGCTGCTCCTGGGCGGGGCTCCGGGTCATGGCCGCCTGCAGCTTCTGCGCCTCTTTGGCCCGGATCTGGATGGGGATGGTTAATATTTATTGATATAATATACAACTGTATTACTCATGTTTCTCGCCAAATTTTTTTCCTTTTCTTAACGTTACACTTGAACGCATCATGATAACCTAATTGTGGTTTTACTGAGCCAACCTGAACACATCATCACGCAGCACGTCTGAAACTTGATTTACTTTTCAAGCTAACTAGCTTGTATGCTGATGATTACAACACGGATTTCACAATTACTATTGTAATAATAAAAAAACCACCAGACTCCATAGTGGTATCGATAAGCCCAAACGGTGTTGATTTTCGGGTTTTGAAAAAAGTGGAACCGGGTCCTTGATAGAACCGGGTTTCCATCCCCATCCGTAGACGTGAGGAGAGGGATAAGCTAAGGCAGTGTTTTTCAACCTTTTTTGAGCCAAGGTACATTTTTTCAAAGAATAATCTCGAGGCACACCACCAACCAAAAATGTCAAACAAATCTATAGTACCACTATAGTTATTCTTATTTTATTGTTATCTTAAGTGTGTTGAATAGGAATTAAATGAACACAAAAATGTATTTTTATCATATTTTATATTTCTTCTTTCAAATTGTACTTAACATGTCCACTTCAATATGCAAAATTATATACAAAATCTAATCTAGGAATTATTACATGATTACGCCACCAGTCACTAGAACAGCACAGACACTCAAAAATGGAAAATTATTTGCAGATAATTAATTCCTTATCAAAAAATCTTTTAAGACCAATGAGGTGAAATAGGATGATTTTTTACACCTGACCATCACTAACGGCACACTAGTGGTTGAAAAACACTGAGCTAAGGCAGGTGAGACAGTGACAAAAGTGACCCCCCCTCTGCACTCACCCGGTCCAACAGGGACTGGGACACCCCCCTACCTCAACAAGCGAGTATCCCTTTAGTTTTGTACAAAAAATACACTGTAAACTACCTCAACAGGCGTGTATCCCTTTAGTTTTGTACAAAAAATACACTGTAAACTACCTCAAAAGGCGAGTATCCCTTTAGTTTTGTACAAAAAATACACTGTAAACTAC